AGAAGCTTTTTCATATTGTATGCGATGGCATTGTAGAAGTCATCATCACAGGGTATTGTGGAGGCCGGAGGTGTGTTTTCAGAAAGGGACTTGATAAATCAATGGCGGGAAAAAACATCAGTGGTAATGCAACATCATGGTCCAAATGCAATCTCCAGAGTCCCTGGAGTGCAGATTACCAGCGCTGGGTGGGCCAGTCTGGGACATAAAGCCCTCTTTGCTAGAAGGCTTGTGCAGCCCTACCATAGATCCGGTTGGTTGAAGAAACATGATGCTAGGCAGAAAGAGAATACAATATAGGAGCAGATTTATATGTAGTCCCCACCAGGCTCTGCTCCCCAGAGTGAAATCTTTGTCTGAAATCTGGCAGTGTGGGTCGAAGTCTTTGCAGCAGGTGGCATGAGTTGGGTCTAGTACCTGTCTTTGCTGCTGCAGGTATTTGATCGTGCTACTGGAGCCTGAAGAAGTTAGTAAGTGAAGTCTGTCCCTTAGTCCCCTCACCAACAACTCAGACACAAGATAAAGCTATTTCTACCCATCACTGTTGGCTCAAAGGACAGAGATCTGCCACCTAGCTCTAGGGATCCACCACGGCACTGCAGGCAGGCCAGTGTTGCTCCTACATTTGGGGCTTGGGGAGGGTCAGTTTGCTTCTGTAGTACTCCAGGGAGTAGCAGATTAAATAATCCATGTTTGTGGAGTCCGGCACCCAGGAGTCAGATAATGATGCTAAACCACCTGGGGACTGGTGCAATGGTAACTTGTCTCCTTGTGTAGTTGCATTCTTTGTTACAGGATCACTACTTTTTATTATTTAAAGGATGACAATCTGCAGTTACCTGTATGGGAAAGAGATTTTCAAATGCAGATGGCTCTTTAATACACCAGGAGTAAGCCTAGGAAGTTCCAGTGGTTGGAAGCTGAAGCCAGACACATTCAGATGAGAAATAACATACTTCAAGGTTAATTAACCATGGGAGCAATTTGCTTAAGGTTGCAGTAGGTGCTCCATGACTGGCAAGTATTGAATCAGGGCAGGAAATCTATTTCAGAGATGTGCCCACACTCCAGTGAAAGTTGTGGCTATGGGAGATGCTCTGGGAGAGGTCGGATATGAGGCATGGTTTCACAATGTAGAGTTTTGGTGTTGGTACCATCTCACGCTGTTGCAGCCATCCTGCCCCACTCTCCTACAGCTCATTCCTGACCTGTGAGCTGCTGTCCCACCTTGTGCCAGTATTACCATTTCTGGGACAGAGCTGTGAACTGTTTGAGTGACTGAGCGATCTTAAATTACATTTTTCTTGTGCTTGTTTAAAAATGAACTTGAGCCTCAGTTCTAGCTCAGTGCAGGGCCCCACAGGTAGTAATGCCGGCATGGGATGCCGGCACGGGATGCTGGCACATGGGTGGCTGCAAGGGTAAGGAGATGGACATACCTGAGCTCATTGGCTTTGTCTAATCCTCCATATCACAAACTCCCAGCCTGAGGCTCCTGTTCCTCCAGGCACCTCTGACATATTCTGCTTTCCCACCTAGAGATGCTGCCCCAGCAGATTTTGAGGACTTTTACATTTGCCCAGGCTTCTGATACATGGAAGTCCAGCCAGGGATACCTCATGGGCATGCCCCGGGGCTGCCACCCACCTGAATTACAGGCCATTGCTACAGTAGTTACCCACGTTGCCTGCACAGCATGGGCTGAGCTTATCCCACTGCTTCTGGGGGGGGATTTACTGCACATGCGCTTGTGCGGTCAATTGGTGCTCACAGAGAAAGCCCAATGTGTAGGAAAATGGCAGATTTACCGCGCCAGCCCAGCCCATCTGTGCAGCACATGTGCGGGGATCTGAGCCCTCCCGGAAGCGTCTGGTTTGCTCTGCCTGCGCCGCGCTGCACACACGGACATCGCGCAGTCCAGGAAATCCCAGATAAAAATGTGCCAGTGCTGGTCATTTGGACCATATGGATCTTCGCTGACCTCAAAATCTGTGGTTTGAGCAGCACAGGTGCTACAGGAACAAAGGGATTAGTAACATCTGTACTCCGAAGCCAAGGATATTTGGATACCTGCGCATCACTGCATCTCCACCTGTCCTGGGCTTTCATCTCTTGCTTGTACATACCACTTGTTGGCTGTTGTTGAGCTGCTCTGTGTTCCCTTTGGCGAGTAGAGACCGTTGCCCAAGTCATCTGGGGTGCTCCAGGCACAACTCCACCATTAAGGCAGGACTTGAAGTTTTACCAGGAACTACTGAACTTCAGCCTGTAAAAATCTCAATAAAAGGAAAAAGAAAAAAAGAAGAGAGAAAAACAGACATGGAAAGCAAAATTTGAGCTAGATATGTATCTTTTATGGTAAAATTTGAAAATGACCAGAACTAACTGATTTATTTCACTCTTATGGAGACAGAAGAGGAACACTAAGCAAGCCAGGGCCTTTTCTGTCCTGCTTTTTGGTCTGCACTGCACTGCCTGAGTGATGCCTGTGTCCTAGAACAAAATTTTCTCAGAGGCTTTTTAACAACAGGCCAATTAGCTTCCTAGAGACATGGGAGATGGGACAGACGGATGTCCTGCTTCTGCTGCTACAGGGATGCTGGAGCTTATACCAAGGGTTTGCTTTGCTTTTCAGTCCCTGCTCACAGACAGCTGTAGCGGGTGTGTTTGCAGCAGGGCTGTAGGCACTGTAGAAGTGGCGAGGAAAACTGGAGAGCTTCTTCCTTCTAGCTCCATCTACTCATAGTTTTAGACTGTGAGTAGAGAGTGCCAAGCTGAGTCTGAAGAGGTGATTTAGTAAAGTCCAGGATGGTTTATTTTGTGGCCAGAACATAAAGCGTTTGAGGTTAGAATGTAAGCTGGGCTAATCTTCAAACCCAATTGCAATATATAAATCTTCAAACTCAATATAGATTGTGTTCATAATTTCAGTTTAGAGTTCATTAGTTCAATCTTGTACTTCATGCATTACATTTTAGGCAGCAGTCCCTGTACTGAACATTTAAAACCTGGGAGTCGGATTTTTTGATCCTTTTGGCATATTTCTGCACACTTAGTTTTGTAGAGCAGCAGCCTCTCCATAGCAACGTTTGCAAAGTTCCCTTTTTGACAGATGATGGGTGTGAGCTGTGGGGAGCTGGCAGCTCTCCCCCTGGCTGCACTGGGGCTGGTCCAACTGGTCTCCTTGCCCTGCTCAGCTGGGGAGGAACCATTCCCAAACCACAGCCCTGGCACTGGTTTCCTGGGCCTGAACCTCAAGAGAGATGTAAAAGCATTTCTGAAAGGCAAGCCTGGGAACTGACGCTCACAGCACTGCTAAGCAGCAGAATCAGGGATGCATCAGTGCTACGGGGTTTTACAGCATGCTATTGTTTTTCCTTTTCTAATTGCATCTCTTCCCTCCCTGTCTGCAGGGATTTATTACCGCTGCCTTTGCCAGTGTCCTCTTATGCTTCACAGGGTCCAGCTGCCCTTTTGTCCCAGTCTATAATTGACCATCGTCATTAATTTAAAGTCAGAATGATTGTTTCCGAGCTATATTTAGCCTGAAGCGTGCTGCTCTTGTTTCAGACCTGATTAGAGGCTCGTGTGCCAGAAAGCTTGCTGCTCATCCCTGCCATGACTACTAGTCTGACGAAAGGTGTCATCTCTCCTCGCAAACCTTCCCTTTCCTTCCCTGCTGTCAGTCATGGGGCTGTCCTGGGGTAGTCAGGGTCGCAGGACCCAGGGCCACTCATCCCCATGTCCTGGTGGAGTCAGCACAGCTGTGTGATTCCTGTTGTGTTCCTGGGATCCATGTGCATCAAAGAGCAGCCTGAGACAATACAGCATCGGTTTCTTTCTCATCATATTCGCTTGCTCAAGGCAATGTCTCCTACCATGTGCATACATTATCACTTCCAAAATGCATCAGCTACACAGTGCACGTTACACTACTGAACAGAAAAGCGTGCCTGTCCAGTTGGTGCGTGCCATTGTGTGTTTTCATATCTGTGCCCCTAAGCGTAAGAATATAGTAACTGCTTGGGCTTCCTTGTGTGAGCTGCAGTTTTCCAAGGTGCAGTCTGGATTGCTGGACCAGGGAGCCAGGGAGGGACCGTCTTGGATGGCAGCAAACCTGTGCTAGAGGCTGCTGCTGCAGTGGTTGCATATGAGCCCCAAGATTAGGAATTGCTTTGGTTTTGGGAGATACACCTGTGTGGCCTCAAGTCTGACTGAAATAGGAGCTATCTGGAAGAGGTGTATTTTCTTTAAGATAGTTGGGTCATAAGATATCAGGACACTAACGCATATATATATCTGATTGTAACCTTGTGCATGGAAGTGCTGTGTTTAGTCATAGGAATGGGACCAACCAAAAGCGTACCCAGGTCAGCGTCCCATCAGTTTGCTAACAGCCAATGACAAAGGCCAAGCATCAAAAAAAGGGAAGCACATAGCAGTATTTGTCCAGCCTTTCCTCCCATCCTCCAATGCTCAGTGGCTTCCTGACCTGGAGGTGGTATCTTTGCATCTAATAGCTTTCCTGGCTTTTATTTCCATTTTCTTCCACTTTTCCAGTCCTTGCTTGAATTCAGGCAAGGAGTTCCTCAGCTTAAATACATGTTCGGTGAAGAAGTGTGTCCTTTTAAGATGGACATTTAAAGCTTTAATTTCTATTTAGAGTTGTTGCAGTCATAGAACTAAGTACATTCCCCAAGATCTTTTTCCTGAAATGCTGTTGTACTCTGAAAAGTCTCCCTACCTGCCCCAAAAATGACGCTCAGGACTAGGCTGCCAGTTGGGTTTTACTCCATTATTCTCAGTTGTGCTTGCTACATGTGTTTGTATTAAATACAATCTATTCCTTCCATTTAAGGATGCAAAGGTTTAATTAGAAAGGGTCTGTGAGCGCAGCGACCGCCTTTGGTATCCTGTGATGTAAGATGGGCATTGGTTGTTTTAGGACTTGCCCTGTGACAACATTTGGCTTATATGGTTTCTTCCTCTGTTTCCCATAGGTTCATGAAAGTGGCTGGCAGCACGGTGGATGCTGTTACCTGGCAACAGTAGGTATTCACCATTCCTTCTACTTTCCAACACTAATTGCAGTGATCAGGCAATGCTGGGAATAGAGCTGATGAACTGTCTGGATGTGAAAGAGGGCAGAAGTGTGACAGCCACCTCCTCTGTCCTGCTACTTTTAAATAGGTGAAAGAGGCTCTGCCCCTCCTTTTGGAGCCTCTCGAACAAACACAGGAGGGGGTGTATTAACCTTTACCTCTGCAGCTGAGACAGAGACTAAAAATCCCACTGCCTGCATGCCTGGCCTGCCTGATTGCTGGAGACAAAGCTCTGTGCTGGACCACTGCATCGCCAGAGGCAGCTGGGAGCACAGGCAGCTCTGGTGGTGGTGGGGTGGGCACAACAGGGAAGCAAAAACCACGTATGACAGATGTATAGGACTATCTGAAAGCTCTTTTCACCCCAATTACTGTCACCCTGCGACCGCTGACCTGAAGCTAAACTAGTTTGGCCCAGAGGAGAAAAAGGCAGCTTAGTCCAATGGTAAATGCATAATGCCCCAGTCCCTGCTCTGTTTTGTAAGGGTCTCAGATATCCGTAGACATGCCGCTGTCCTGCACTGCAGATGGAGCCCCAGGAGTGGATGTCTATGGAAAGGGGGTGATCATCCAAGATCCAGGTCCAGGTGGGGCTGCCAGAGAGATGCTGATGCCTGATTTTCCTCCTGGTTCTTACATGTGCTGCAGTTCAGAAGAGCAAAGCAAGCCCTGAGCTGTACCGCTGAGTAAGACAAGCACCAAGTGGAGTGACAGGTTTTCTTATTTGGGGGAAAAATCCATAAACATCTTTTTTCTCCTTTTATTTCTAACTGCCCCAGTTTGCACGCTGTGGCTAGAGGTGGGCTCCCCAGCAGGCTGTGGCTCTCTACAATGAGAGTGCAAAGGCAAGGCAGTGTGCAAACACGGCAGCCACCACCAAAATAGATAGTAAAAGGGTTTGTGAGGCAGGCAGGACTCTCTCCTGCCACAGAAAGGACACATTTCAAAGACAGGCATTCACTGGAGCAAGGAGCATGGTAAGACTCCCCTGTTCCCAGAAAAAGTGGATTTGCTCTGACACTGGGTTAAACTCCCCATGCAGGGCACTGGCCTTGAGCATGGGAGCTGGGGTTTCAAGTCCAAGGTGGGCTTGTGTGTGCCCAAGCTGGACCTTCACAGCAACCCTTCGTGCGGCGCTCAGGTTTCTCTGCTGAAGTGTAGAGACATGGTTTGTAAAGCCCATCTGGAGACCTGTTCTTAAAAAGAGCTCGGTAGGGTTTAAGACATGAGGTTTTCTTGCAAGTGCAGCCACGGTCTCTGTGTCGGTATGTTAACCTTGGAGCCTCCTGCAGAAGCAACTGTTGGCATCTCAGAGTGTTTTATAGCACCAGGCATGACCAGCATCCAGCAAGTCCTGTTCCTCAGGGAGCTTCGCTTGCCTTGCTGTGCCGCAGTGTTGCTTGCTTGGGTGTTTGGCTCCTGGGGCTTCCCTGCCAGGCAGCAGCAGCTTGCTGCAAGGGGGGCAGTGGGGTAGCAGAGCTTTTGGAGCAGGATTTGTGTTACTTACAGGCTCATGCTGTGCAATGATGATCTATGTCTCAGCTGGGAGTTTGCTTTTCATGATTACACGATGTGCTGATCACATTTACTTAGTCCAGGAATTTGCTTTCTGCAATGCGGCTTGATCACTGGGCCAAGCCCTTGGATGAGCTGAAGGAACAAACTTCCAGGCTTCAGATGTGGAGTTTCACCCTGGTGTGCAGGGAATCTGCCTGCATGGCTGCTTTGAAACCTTTTCTTACAGGATCAGCGCAAAGCGCTCGGTGTCTCCGGTGCTGAGCAGCCCTGCTGAAGCAGCAACCTGCGAGCGGGGGGGCTGGTGCAGCTCCCTGCGAGGGTCGGCAGAGCCGAGATGCTGCTTGCTGACCCATGGCCACTGCAGCGTGGGAGCCACTTCTCCCCCAGCCTGGGTTTGCAGCTCTGGAGATTGCACCCGTATGCGTTTGGGAGGACTGGCAATGGCCACAGCTCCGAGCTGGGCTTCTGTACTGTTTATGAATAAATGTCAAAACAGTGTCTCATCCCTCTGCTCCAAACAGCAAAACAAAACAAAACAAGTTCCTTTGTATCCAAGAAGAAAATTATTAGCAGGAAACTAAACTGCTGCCTAACTTCAAGTATGAATATTTCTGTTCCAAACCATAACGTTCTCCAGGGATATCGGTTATAAATTTGTCAAATCTGTTATTCCTTTGAAAAGGCTGTGCTTGATCCAGAAAGGGAATTGAGAAGGGAATACATTGCAGGGATCCCTATTCTCTGTGTGAACATAGAATATATCTGAAATATATCTGACAGAAAAGTGACACTGGGTGGAAATAAGCAGCCTTGCCAGCCTTTCTGAGTACGGTTTCACTTACATATGTAACTCAGCATGTGTGCCTCCCTCTTCAGAAGTAATATGTTGCTGGGGAGGGAAGTGTGAATGGCTTCAAAACGCTCGGGGAATTTCCACTAAAGGAGGGTGTGGCAGGTGGGACTGACAGTGGCTCCGAGAGTTTTGGCATTTCCCTGATAATTCAGTTTGTAACGTTTGGATATGAGTAAATGCTGGATTTATTGCAGACCCCCTCATCCTTTGGATGTGGGTTTCCACTGCTCGGAAACCTCCCTACAGCCATCTCTTTGCTCGGCGCTGGTGTCCTCACACAGGAAGATTCATTGCCCACCTAAACCTGCAGCCGTGCCCAGTTCTGTCCCTGGGCATGCTCTCTGTCTGTATCACTGGTTTTCCATCAGAAATCTTGTGCACAACGCCAAGTTTGGCATATTTAACAGGCAAATCCTTAAGCAATGCTGCCTCTGAAGCACAAATTGCTATTACTTACAGGGAAAGTAAATGTTTGCATCTTCAAAGCTGGTGGACATCTATCCCTGTGGCTCCTTGGAGAATGCCACATTATCTTCCAAGACAGAAAGTCACTTGCCCTGTGTGGCAAATCAGAGATGCCAGGCACACAGGCGTGTGTGAGATGCTGCCTAAAATGCTTTTGCTGGACTTGCTTTGGGTGATATCTCTCCTGGCTTAGACACGTTGAATGTGCAGGTGGAGATGCTCATGAGGCAGTAGCGGGGGACAGATCTCCCAAAGGTGCAGGGAGAGAGTTGCCCTGCATGCAGACATGCAGATGTATATACCAAGGGTATATATCTGGGCTCACGTGAGCCTGCTGCGAGTGCTCAGAGGTCAGTGTCTTCAGAGGTTGTGCCTAGAGGAAGGGGGGGTTGCATGAAGAAGTCACTGGCGCATCTCCATCTATAAATAAGCCTGGTCAGTGCACGGCTTTGCCTACTGGCTTGCCATCCTCTGCACTGTCTGATGGAGAGCACAGTCCCTGGCAGCATCCTGGCCCTGGCCACCAGCATGGTCCCAGGCGATGCCAGGGCATGACTGGGGAGATGGCATGGGCCAGAGATGGCTCCCACCAACGGGACAGACAAAGGCACCTTGTCTGGGGGTAGAGAAAGGCATGGGTGCGAGTTGTGCCTTTAGGACCAGAGAGCAGCCCCCAGTCATTCTTTTTTATCAGTGCATTTATTATGTTGACTGGAGGTGGGTGGCACCTCTCCCCCACACCTGCAGTACCTGGGGGGAAGCAGGTCACATCCCACCTCTCCTCTCCGGGGGGAGCACTGGGGCTGCCCTGTGTCCTGTGCTGCAGACGGGGGCTCGGGAAGATGCTCAGGGATCGGGGCCACCTCTGTCAGCAGAGGTGTCTCGGTTTCACAGCTGCGGTGATAGCGGGGTGTCATGCTGACAGCAGGGATCTGCCTCGCTCAGGGTCCCCGGCTGCCCTAATTCCTAGCAGACTCTCCCCATAGCAGCAGGCAACAAAGTAGATCCGGAAATTCCTGAGCTTTGGGAAGTGGGCTTTAATGTAATTAACTGCAACAGAAGAAGAGGTCAGATAATAGGGGCAAAGGTTTCTCTTTAAAATGAAAGAGGAGGTAAATGAAACCAGCTGCCCAGGAGCCAGTGCACTGCCTTCATTAAATGTGGGACGATGCTTATGGTCCTACGCAGCAAATTGTGGATCTTTCCAGAAAAGCATTTTAAAGGCAGCACAAGACCTGGAGGTGACAGGACAGAGACATGCAGCCAGTCCCATGTTCACCCTGGTGCCTGGCACTGTCCTTCTCTGGGAGGCACTGGGGAGCTGTGCGCATCCCGGCCTTGCAGCCTGCCCAAGGACAAGGGCGTTTCTGACTGACAGCTGTGCTGAGCCCTGCCTCAGTGCTGTTCCCAGCTCTTCTCTTTATGTCTCGAGTCTCATGCTACTGTTCCAGCCAGGGATGGAGGCTGGGAATTGGGGTGGTGCATTTCCTCGCACGGGTACAAATCCCTGCCCAGCCCTTGGCTAAGTCCTCCCCGTGCGCCGTGCTCTGGTTTGGCCACCCCCAGGGTGATGCAGTCACACCTCCTGGTGCAAACTGCACGGGTTCCATCCTGCATTTCTAGGGCATATTCAAATGGGGTATTTTAGAAATGGGGTAATGTAAACAGAAGGAGGAGAACTAGCCTCAGCTTTCTATAGTATAATAGGGCACCCAAAATGGCTGTACGTGGCCTTTCCTCTGAGATGTATGTCTCATTTAGGATTTAGTTGCTAGATCCTTCTTTTCCTTGGCTGGCTCTTCTCATGGTCCTGCAGATTGTCTGTCTACAGAGAGAATGGCATCGAAGGGGGGGACACAATGAGTCAGCTCTGCATGTGATTGTCTGTATCTGTTCTCTCCTGTGTTATGAGAAATGGCATAGCCTGTGCCCACAGTGGGCATGCTGATATCTCCTAGGCTTCAGGGCCAAATCTGATCCTGATTCATACCCAGAGCCCACTGGAATATCTGCCAGCCTGTGCTGGGAGACAAATAGCTTGTCTATGAGCTACATGCCCTCTGCCTCTGTAGAGTTATAGCTGCCAGAGACCCCTGCCCACGCCGGGGAGGGTCTGTCCATTCATCTCCTTTGGCACTCAGACCTCGGGAAAGGAGGATGTGGATGCTGCGAACCCCAGGGCTGGCTTGGCCCGGCTGCCTGTGCACCGTGCTGCTGCCTGGGGAGGTGCTTGTCAGCGCTGGAGCTCTCTGCAGCTGCTGCTGGCTTTTTTGGAGGTTGGAGAGTTGCGATTGTTCAGGCTTTGTTTTTTTTTTTAAAGTCAAGTGCACTGAGTCATTCTAAATATCAGCGAAGCTGCAGCCTTTGCTCCTGGGAATAATCCATGCCTAACGAGCGCTTCTCAGGCTTTAAAAGCCATCAGTTGTTTGCATTTTGCGGATTTCTATGCTGCCTTTACTGGTGGTTAAAGTTCTAAAAAGGAAGCGCTCTCATCTCAGTGACAAAGCCTACAGCTGGAAATGGCTCACCTGATCCTGAGTAGCCTGGTACCAGCGAAGACCTCAGTGGCTCTCCCTTCCTCGCAAGCCTTGTGCAACTGGTACCATTTTCCCTCTTTCCCAGTCTGGGGAGGTTGAAAGTGCCTCCAGTTGGTGTCTGAGAACTTCCCAGGCAGATCTGCAAGAGACCCTTGCCCATCTTACAGAAGCTTGTAATTGTCCTCATGCTCTGCACCCTCATGCACCCCAAAGCCAAGGTGCTCCCTTCTCGCTCCCACAGGATGCATGCTACCAACAAAATTTCCTGATACTGAAGCAGGTTTACTTTTGCCTTTCATCCCTCTACCAGTCCCCATTTCTCTGGGTTGTTAACAGTGTCAAAAAAAGGTTTCCGTGGCAGTGTCATGGGGCATTTCTCTTCCCTGCGGGGTCTCGGCTGTGCTCAGCACAGCAGCACCTTCCCAGGCTACCTCCTCCGTGCCATCCCTGGGAGGGCAGAGCCTCGTCTGGGACTGTCCTGGAGAGATGTTCCTCTCCCTTGGCAGCGGAGCTGTGGGTCAGAGCACACCTTGTGCTTGAATGAGGTGATGAGGAGGTGCAAGCCTGCCTTTGCTCTCCAAGGGGTTTATTCTGGGCTTTGGGACCATATTGGCTTGCGCAGACAAGCTGAACCTGCAGAAAGCCTGCTGTGTTGGAAGGGCCATACAGAGACTGAGGTCTCTCTAACTTCATCTTTTCCCAGTCAATGGAACCTTCTTTTTATGGCCTTTCAGCCAGTTTTGAGCCCAGGTGATGGGGTTTTTAGTCCACAGCAGTCTGAAAAAATTGTTTCTGTTCAGTTCTTAAGTGCTGTGCTAAAATCCGAACATCTGCCATCCCCAGAGTCCATTGCTTTGTAATTTTGTCTTAAAAAGTAATCTCTGTAAACCCCACCGCTGCCTGCTGCTTACAGATCAGTTCTCCTCCCGGCAGCCAGTGGTTCGATAGTGTGTAAGTGATCGGGATGATTTTGAACACTTCTTAAGTCCCCCCTGGAGATAATCTCTGCCCTTAGCACCTTCCAGTCACTGCGGACATACAGAAATGCCTCTTGCCTCCTTCCCTGAGTTACACAACATTGGAGTGAAATTGGGATGTGACTGGCATGATCCTGTGGTTCGCTGGGAACACAGCTGGGACCGCACACCTTGGGGGGGGGGGGAGTTCGCAGAGGAGGTTCTTTTCATTTAATGCATTTGCAAGTTGAGCCTGTAATGCATTTCTGTTCTGGGACAGTTAGTGCTGGTGTTGCTCCCCCTTCAATGCAACCCTGCACAGCTCCAAGCCCTGCACAGCTCCAAGTGCATTTACTCTGTTACCTGGGTAGTGACTTGGAGCAATGAGACACAAAAATCCTCTGTGAACACTCATGCGTGTTGCACGTGTGCCAGGTGCTTTGGCTGAGGCTGAGTTAGCCCACGGCATCCTTTGGGGATGCTCCTGCATTCCAGCATCCAAGTGAAGCAGCCACTACGGCTGCTACAGCTGCTTGTTGGTGTGGATGAGATGCATGTTATGGACAAATCAGCCCTGGAAAGGTGAATCCACATTTCTTCAGACCCCGGGTCTTCAGCCCATTATGCATCCCAGCACCCATGGCTGCACTGAAATCTGTGGAGACAAAGAAGGGTCTGCGTAACTCTGGAAAACACCGACTGGACATGGTTCCAGTGAAGGATGGGAGGCAATGGCTGACCCCTGCCAGCCCCAGCCAGAGCTGCTGCAATTGCTGTGCACCTCCGTGCCCCCCAGCACAGCTCTGACATGCCCTGGGGCTCCCTGTGTCGAGCGCGGCTGATGCACGCTGCGGATTTGGAAGGAGGAGGTTCAGAAAGTTTCTCTTGCAAAACCTATTTATCAGCCAAACGGCCATCCCAGGACAAGAGGAAATGGCCTCAAGTTGCGCCAGGGGAGGTTTAGATTGGATATTAGGAAGAATTTCTTCACTGAAAGGGCTGTCAAGCATCGGAACAGGCTGCCCAGGGAAGTGGTAGAGTCACCATCCCTGGAGGCATTTAAAAGGCATGTAGATGTGATGCTTAGGGGCATGCTTTAGTGGTGGACTTGGCCGTGCTAGGTTTATGGTTGGACTTGATGATCTTAAAGGTCCTTTCCAACCTAAACGGTTCTGTGATTCCATGCCAGTGCATGCTGCAGCAGACGTCCTGCTGTCCCGGCGAGGCTGGGAGATGTAAGGGCTGCTGCTGCTCCTTGCGTGGGGGCAGAGGTGCTGCTCCCAGACGCTTCTGCAGGAGGAGCTGGTTGGGATTACCTCCAGCCACAGGGTATTTCCACTCCAGGACAGACTGCTTCACCTTATGTCCTGGAGCCAGGAGACAGTATTGAGGCGTTTCAGAGCCTTCCTCCCACACTTAGAGACAGATGATTCACATCTGTGATTGGCAGTACTATAGCTGTGGTTTATGTAAGCAAGCACATGGAGAGCAGGAATCAGCCCTCTGTATGGGAAACCCTCCCTGGCATTCCCAGGGCAGAAGGGATTCCTGTGAGAGCAGGACTTCCCCTGCAGATAATGACCATGGCATTTCTTGAGTGGGGGATTCAGCTGTGGATTTTGCTGGAAGAGTGAGCAAGGAAGGTGCAGGTGGTGGAGGGGTGCTGGGAGCAGGGCTCGCTCTGGTGCCGTAGGTCCTCAGCTTGTGCACCCTATGGTCACTAATCCTTGCTCAGAAACACCATCAGGGCTTAGCCTGGAGGGTTGTTATTGCAGCAGGACATCCACGAGCAATTCTGGTTCTCAGACCAGAAGAGGCTCCATACAGTCCCCCCTGCAGACCAGCCATTGAATGGAGAGCATCCTGTGACCCAGGCAGAGTGATGCAGTCATTCCCATGGCTGGGAGCACAGGCAGTGTCCCCCATCCCCTCCTGGGTGTTTACTGCAGCAATTTCCAGAGTGTCTCAGAGGGTATTTGCTACTCAGGACCCTTCCCCTCCATGGTGTCTGTGTAGTGTCCTCCTGTGGCTGAGGGGCCCTTTGTTTCAGGCATTAAATTTGCATCTTCTATTTTGCCATCCTGTAAAAGCAATCTTTCCAGTAGCAATGATACTGGGCCCAGGACTGACTGGCTTATCTGTATTTTGAAAACAGTGTGTCCCTAAGAGAGGGGACGGGTACAGACAGGACGAGCTGAGTGAGCAGATCTCCCAAGATCTCCCTTGTTGTGGAGCCCAGGCTCTGCTGTCACAGACATTGTGTCGGAGGGTCTCTTGCCGTGGAGTCTCTGTGAGATCAGTGCAGAGGGTGCTGCAAAGCCATTGTGGGTGGCGTTTTGCTCCCAGCCTTAGGCATTCCGCTCCCAGCGTTTCACCAGCAATAGTTAAGAAAGGGCAAAACTTCCCGTGGTTTCTGCAGTGCAGGATGCTCAGCGTTCAGGGTGCATCCACCTCATGCCGTATTTTGGAGACTGAAAGCGTCTGCCAGACACAGGCAAGGCCAGAGGGTCAGGGCAAGGCAGGGTGCAAGAAGGACTCCCCTGGAGCAGAGGAGGCTTCTTGGCAGCCGCGGGATGGGAGGACGTGGCTCGGGGCAGAGCTGCTCCTAGCTGGCTGATCCTTGTCTTCTTTTTTTCCTTCCAGTTACTACATTGACGGCCGAGTGGCCAAAGTGACGGACTTCCTGAAAACACGCCTGTTAGACACGCTGTCTGACCAGATCAGGAAAATCCAGAAAGTGCGTGAGTGCAAAGGGTCTGCAAGGAGCGAGGGGGCACCGTGCCCGCGGTGCTCAGTCTTGGCACAGCTCATGGCCAGGGCTCTGGCCTCGGCACCAATGTGCTCCCAGGGGAGCTGGCGTCGGGCAGGGATGGAGGGCGGCTGCTGGAGGTGGCTGTGCTCCTGGTCTAAATGCAGCCAGACCAGACACCACAATGCCTGGCCCCGGTGTGGGATGTGGGGTGGGCTGGAAGGGAAGCGGCCACGGGCTGCGGCATGGCGTGGGCTGAGCAGGTGTGCTGGGACACAGGCTGGATGCATGGGGCAGGGGCAGGCACTGCCCTGCAAAGCCTTTCTAAAGCAACCGACTGGCTTGAGCTTCCCACCCGTCCGTTCCTGAAGGGAGCAACATGTAACATGGGTATTCTCTGAAACTTGCTCCCGAGGACAAGGAGAGGAGGGAGGAACCAGGCGGTACCAAACCATCCCGAGCACAGCCAGTGCGGTGACTGATCAGGAGGGAGGGTCCTACTGCAATATCTTGCCCCACTCACTCACACAGTGCATAAAAATGTTGCTTGCAAAGTTGTGACAGTTGTGTTTCCAGGGTGATTTTCACTGATGGAGAATCATGATTATTATGAACAACAGTTTTTTTTTTTTCCCTGATGATCATGTTTTGACTGTGTTATAAAACCCAGCTGTTGCTGGCATGCTGTGTCAGAGCCCAAGGCTCTGCCTGGCTAGTGCAGCCTGCAGCAAGCACTTCTCTCCCCACCAGTTGGGGGGACCCGGCTCGCATCTCTAACAACCAGGTAGGGGATGGGGGCTTCACAGGGTCCCCCCATTTTGGCTGATATGAGGGCCAGGGCTGTGACTGGCCTGCTCAGCTGTCAGTCCCAGAAGAAATAAGGAACACCTAGTAAGTGGGGAAGGCTTTAGGGACTAGAGGAGATGTCCATCCGTCTGTCTTGTCTAAGTTTTCATACCATACCAGTCACCACAATGTCTTACTGTTGTAATTCCTGCCGGGAGAAACCGTAGGATGGGTAAACAACTCAAAGAGGCCCCAGGAAAGGGGTTGCGAGGGTTGGCACAGCAAAACTAGAGGAGAGGAGCCACTTGCTGAGTCCTCTGGCACAAGCTGGGAATCATCCATGCATGTGGATGACCTTCCTTCTGTGGGGAGGCATGGCAGGGTGGCCGGCGGGATCAGCACAGGGGCAAGTGAGAGGCACCGGCTGACCCTGTGCCCACTGGGGATACAACACCCCACCAAAAGTGGTGGCACGTGTCCCACCTCTGCTATGGGTTGGGAACCTGCTAGAAAGGGAGTGGGACCCCATCCATCCCCATACTAGAGGCAGCAAGGAGCTGCCGTGGGTGCAGGATGGAGGAACCCTCGCACCCACAGGGCAGGATTTGGTCTGTGCGGAGCAGGGCCAGGGAAGGGCTCTCCCGGGAATGCCAGTGTGGCTGAGCAAAAGCACAGCGCTGGGTGCTAATAGCCTCCAGCTTGGCTTTGAGTCCGCGCATCCTGCCGGGGCTGATTAGAGCAGCTGGGCTTGTCCACTTCCCTGTTTTATTGCTTCCTCTCCGACGGGGGAAGGTGGCGGGCTTAGATAATTACAGGCAGGATGCCAACACCTCTGGGGCTTCAGTCAGGGATGTCGACTCTCACAGCCTGTGAGTGGGAGGCAGCCCAGAGCTGGCGTATTTAACATCTTTGAGGGATCCCAGTCCATCCAGCACATTCCAGCACTCCTCACTAATGGGGCAGGATCCATCAGGCTGCGCAGAATGCTCCTCGGACTGCTGGGTTTGCAGACATCTGGTCACGGGAGCTCATCACCCGGTCTGGAGAAGTGGGATTGCGGGAGAGAGGACACAGCGTTGCATGCTGCAGGAGGTTGCTTGTGCTGGGAGAGGGCAGCTCCGGCCATCCGAGCCCTCCTGTCCCGCCTGACGTCTCACAGGTGTCTGCCCTGCCAACTGGAACCTTTTAAGGGGTGGGCCAGCATGCTGGGACCTGCATGTCCCATCTGTGCCAGGGACCCCTCGGGTGGTGAAGCAGCCCCCACTCAGCCATGGGGCTGGCTCTACTCGCACCTGGGGGCAACCGCTGCATTCTTCTTGGGTGCCCACTGTTCCTCCATGTGGCTCCAGTACATATCCCAGTGTTCCCATGCTGACTGGAACCTTTTAAGGGGTGGGCCAGCATGCTGGGACCTGCATGTCCCATCTGTGCCAGGGACCCCTCGGGTGGTGAAGCAGCCCCCACTCAGCCATGGGGCTGGCTCTACTCGCACCTGGGGGCAACCGCTGCATTCTTCTTGGGTGCCCACTGTTCCTCCATGTGGCTCCAGTACATATCCCAGTGTTCCCATGCTGCAGAGCCCTTGGGGCTTGGGTGCTCCCCGTGGCTGGGAGCCACCTTGAGTGGGGGAAAGGGGAGGT